TTTATAAGATTTTTTTTTTTAAGGATTTATATAGGATTTTTAAAACTTATAAATCCTCGTTTTTTATAGTTTAATCTGGAAACTAATCCGGATGTGATATACGTATTCTAGATCATCCCGTTAACATGTAGATTTGAAAGATGCACGGCCCCGAATTAAAGGAAGACTGCCACCTTCAAAAAGTTTTCTCAGATCGGCCTATGATTTATTCCCTGGACAAAACAAAATTTTAGAATTCACCTGACAAAGTATCATCACGTGAATCGCGAAAAAAATTGTCGATTATCATACAATTATCAATCGGTTAATGTCTAGCGACAATGTTTACACATCACTAGACTTCAAGGTCATAAGATTATTACATTTTATTTGAAAAAGTAAGGTATTTTATGATTTACTAATATATGATTTCATAAGAAATTGGCCATGTTTAATTTGTTTTGCATTTAAAGGGACCCTCCCACCTACGAAAAAGTTAATGAATTGGCATGAAAGTGATGTCCCTTGGTTCAGAAAGAGCGAAAACGAATATCTACCAAATTTCACCGAAAAATATTCACTGGTTTTCAAGATATTAGGCTTTTACTTTTGTTTACTTTTTGGGATCTCCCTGTTACTAGCGACTTTATTTGGAAGCAATAATTTGGCAGCCTTAAAGTGCGGCAGACGTTGCGCGCAAAGCAGCGTATACCACGCACGTGTTAACGATGGTTTTAGTCTAAGATTTAAAAATCGTTAGATCTCCGCTGACGTCACAAATTCTAAGGGGGCATACCAATGCATTAGCCCCTTAGAATCCGAAAACTGCAAGTTTGAAATTCCATATCTTCGAATTAAAGCATTTCTCGATGTTGTGAGTGCCCAAACTTTTTATTTATTTCACTTTTTTTTTATTTCACATCATCAGGTATTTCCACACAAAATGGGCTATTCCAATACCCTCGTCATACAATGTAACACCGCACGGTATAAAAAAGTTATAAAAACACACACATCTTCATGAGAACAAAATCGCGGGTCACGAAAAAAATCACGATGCATCAGCCAACATTTTGCGAATGTGGCGCTTAAAAGAAGTCATGCTAAGGTGGTTCACATGATGATCTATGGCGAATGTGTTATACAATTTGGATGCACGATAGATGAATGTACGTTTTCCATGGTTGTTGCGGGGGCGAGTGGTTGAAATATGATCCGACTGCCGTGTTCTTCGAGATATTGATTCATGATTAAACAACAGTGCTTCACGCAATCCTATTGGTACGTCCAGCGATAAAATTTTATGAATCATGCATATGTCAAAATAGTCAACTAGCTTTGGAACAGTGAGCCAACCTAAGTCTGAAATGACATCCGAAACATGGTCGTATTTCCGTCGACCGGAAATAACTCGTGCTGCGAAGTTGACTATTTTTTGTAGTTCGGTCAGTACATTTTTGCCACAGCTACCATACACCTGCGCACAGTATCGAATGTGAGAAAATACAAGAGAATCGACGATACGAGGTAGAACAGAAGCCGGTAGAGTATGTTTAACGTGCGAGATTCCAATGAGAATGCCAAAACATTTGTTAACAACATGTTGCACGTGGCGCTCCCATGACAGGTTTGGGTCCATTATCACACCTAAGTTCCTCACGCTCTCGGTAGACATCACCACTTCACCCATGAATGACACTTTTGGAACTTCATCTAACTGGACTAATTGCCGTCTGTCACCGAAAACCATCAGTTCCGTTTTACTAGGATTAACCATCATACCGTTTTGCATAAACCAGTTACTCAAGATACCTAAAACGTCTTCCATAGCACCCTGCATATCCCGAATTTTGTGTCTCGACCCGGTTAGTGCTAGCTGAGTATCATCCGCATACCTGATTAAAGTTACTCGGAAACCGTTCACAGAGGACGGAATGTGACATGCGATGTCATTGCTTAGAATATTAAACAATAAACTTCCTAACGTTGAGCCCTGGAAGCATCCCACCGATATCGGTAAGGGTTCTGATAATTCGTCGCCGATCCTTACCCTCTGAGTATGTCCCTCGAGGTAGCTCTTGAACCACCCTGTCCTGATCTGTAAGAGACTCAATTTTTCAAGAATAGCACTATGATCGACCACATCAAAACACCGACTTAAATCTAAAAGAGCTAGCAATGAAATTTCCGAATTGTCCATACCTTTCAAAATTTCGTCAGTCATTGATACGAGTGCCGTTGCCGTGGAATGATTCGCCATAAAGCCATTCTGATCGATGGTGAATAAATGTTGCTGAGTCAGATAACTAGTCACCTGGGTGTGAACTACTTTTTCAATGATCTTACAAATGACACTCACAATGGTTATGGGTCTAAAATTTGCCGCTTCCGAGGGTAAACCGGTATTTGCAGGCCATGGCCACCAATTTGGCTATCTCAACTCAAAACTAATGTTAAGGTGGGAGGGTCCCTTTAAGTTCGTAAAACATTTAAAAATCATGGCTCATTTGGAATGGGTCTGGCCCATGTTAAACCCCATTTCCCACACTTTTTTGGAAAAAATGAACTACTGAATATATAAGTTTAACTTTTATTTTGACACTCCAAAATTCTTCTCTGATCTCGAAACAATCAAAGTTTTGACATATATTTACCAAAAGATAAGAAAATTCATGTTTCAAAGTTATCGATAAACAGTAGAGATGTCGGTTTTCTTGGACTAAAAAAATGGCATCAAACTGAACTTTGGTCTCCGATTTCTCGCAAACGGGTTCGAATTTCGGAAAACCGACTTCAGTCTGGGACATAGGTGGCTCAGCTCTAGTGAAAACCGTTTTGTGGAAAAAAAGGTGGCAGTCTACCTTTAATTAGGAACCATCTCCAAACTAAATCTATTCAATTACGTTTTAATCACTGGCTGTTAACCCTCAGCAAGAAGTACTTTAACTGATGAAGTCATTCCACTTACGTAATATAGGAGTTGAATGAAACTGGGCCACCGATTTACATTCAAGTGGATGGTCTAATTGGCACTTACTCGAACCTCCTCTGATTTCTGAATGTCGTGATTTGCAGTCGATAGGTATGTGTAAACTCAACTTTAGGCGTGCATGCACTTTTACATGCACAAATAAGTGCATACAACAGACAACAGATCCATGCACAAACGTGGATATCGACCTGCTTATGCTACAAAAATAATATACAGTCGGTTACAGGTTTATCGAAAGGGGCTATATCATAGGCGCGGGAACCAGGGAGGTTCACGGGGAATGAGCCCCTCCGACTTTTCGACCCATGTCATATGGCGTGGAGAGGCTGTGCCACTATACAGTCAATTGGCACAGTCTACCAGTTACCTATACCAGGAAGCTGCTACTGTCAGTGCTTACGAGTGGTGCTTCGGCATATATTGCGGGTGGATAAAGAGTACCTTTCGATCAGCCTGTAACCAACCGTACCAATAAAACCAAATGCACAATGCAATTGCACATGCAAGAATACCTCCACGTGCATACTTCTAAAGAAAACGCAAGTTCGTACAGATGCATGCATGCACGATCAGTTTAGTTTGTTATTTATGATAAAATCGTTTTATGATCAGTTTGTTTTTCACCAACCTAAAACTTATGTACGGTTGCGTGTTATCTTCATTCCGTCGCACCACAACAGCCATCCCGAATTTCCCGGGTGGCCATCTTGAATCGGTTCTTACTCTGGCAGTTTATTACGGAGCGAGCGAAGCGAGCGTAGTCTTTCCTTAGATTAACGGAAATTTCTGAGTATGAGCGGCCGGCCGGCCGGCCGTGGTCACGCTTTTGCGAGGCTTATATCTCAGGAACCACTTGACCGATTTACACGCGGTAATTTTTGTAGGGTAGCTTCATTCCTTCTACCAAGTATTGGACTGATGCATGTGGGTGACCCCTTATGCACGTGCCACGTGCAAAACGAAGAGGTGTCACTTTTGTAATTGTTGCCATATCTCGGTAACTACTTGGCCGATTGCGCTGAAAGTTGGCATGTAGGTAGGCACCCACTAGGCAATGCATATCCATGTGCCAGAGTTGGGGTGCTGCTGCACGTGCGCACGTGCAGGGGTCGATTCCAGATCTCGAGAACGGCTGGACCGATGGCGCTCAAATTTGGCACATGGTTAGGGACCGGTTAGTAGGGTGCCGTGCAAAAGTCAATTGGGACCCATTTTGCACGTGCGCACGTGCAGGGTGCCGCTTCCAGATCTCGAGAACGGCTGGGCCGATTGTGCTCAAATTTGGCACATCGCTAGAGACCGATTAGTAGGGTGCCGTGCACAAGTCAGCTGGAGGTACCCCCTCGAAATTTCGCACGTGCAAGGCTCACCCTCTCGCTCGCTCCGTTAGTCGCCCCAAAAGGCGTTATACTGGTTTACCAGCTGTCGTTAACACTTTGGGAGCAAATAACATATGGCCCGCCACCACGCCAAAGGGTTATTCCCGGTGCCGAATCCATTACCGGGGATGGGACGATAAGCCCAGTTGGATGCTTTAATGGTTTGTTTTTCGGTCTGGGACTGACAAACATCGAGATGAGGGCATTGACTAACAATTTATCCGTATTTTTGGTCATCTCATTGAAGGCTGATCACAATGTCTAAAGTTTAGAGCATTGTAACAGAAACAATTCCAACCATAAAACATTTACTCATGAATGAATCATTTTTTAATGAGTCTCTCTCTCTCTCTCTCTCTCTCTCTCTCTCTCTCCCTCTCTCTCTCTCTCTCTCTCTCTCTCTCTCTCTCTCTCTCTCTCTCTCTCTCTCTCTCTCTCTCATTTCCCATCTTCTCGAAGTTGCTGCAGAATGTGAGAACTTCAACAGTCGTCATGCTCATTTACGCTAGTTCGAGCATCCGAGCAACGAAGGAGCGACTGGGCCGCGTGCGTTGCCCGATAATCAGCCCTGCTGGACAGTTCTAGCACACAAGGAATTAACTACATTCCTCCTCACCGCTCTCTCACCGCTCTCTACCTCTGCCTCTCACCTGAACTTGGAACATATCGCCGTCGGTGTCACCAGCTTTACTTGAAGCGGTGAACACACGCACGTCGCTGGGCATGTCGTCTGTTCTGAGCAGCTCCGTGAGCGTCGTCAGCGGTGCAATCCGCGGCACCACTGGTCCACACGAGAGCACAACTGTTAGCGCTAGCAGAAGCGGCATTTAGTAAACACAGCTAGATGTTTTGCAGATAAAATAATGTTTGAGATCCGGAAGACAAAGGTACCGGCAGGTAGAGGCCAGAGGCCAGAGGGGTACATAAAAGGCATCGATTTGATAAACCAGCTGAAGTCCAGAGACTGGCTCACTAACAATGCGTTTAGTAGGTGTTTCCAGCACTCAAGAACATAATTTTGGATGAATGTCAAGTAAGTTGTGAAAGTCGACTCATTCAGCAGGAGAAAAGCAAACGTAGGGAGAAAAGTCTCTCTCTCTCTCTCTCTCTCTCTCTCTCTCTCTCTCTCTCTCTCTCTCTCTCTCTCTCTCTCTCTCTCTCTCTCTCTCTCTCTCTCTCTCTCTCTCTCTCTCTCTCTCTCTCTCTCCCTCTCTCTCTCTCTCTCCCTCCCTCCCTCGCTCCCTCTCCCTCTCCCTCTCTCTCTCTCTCTCTCTCTCTTTCTTTCTTTCTTTCTTTCTCTCTCTCTCTCTCTCTCTCTATCTCTCCCTCTCTCCCTCCCTCCCTCCCTCTCCCTCTCCATCTCTCTCTCACTCACTCTCACTCTCACTCTCTCTCTCTCTCTCTCTCTCTCTCTCTCTCTCTCTCTCTCTCTCTCTCTCTCTCTCTCTCTCTCTCTGTCTCTCTCCCTCCCTCCGTCCTTCCCTCCCTCTCTCAGGATACTTTCCAAAATCACAAACACTTCTAAAATATATCTGAAGCCGAACTAACTCAGAACATACCTCCACTTTGCGGAGACATACACTCCAGCTGGACATCCGAGGGCCGGTCCTCGACTGTTGAGAGCCGCAGCAGCACGGGACAGTCGGCGATCGGGCCCTGTGTGTGACACGGGAGGGAGGTGTGAGACACTGCAGACTGCAGAGGACAGTTGGGTCGGTTACCGAATGGAGGAGTAGGAAACTGAGGTATGAAATATTGGAACAGGATGGATTGGAAAGGGATACATCGGAAATGGTTGAGTTGTTGGGCCGCTGCAGGCGACTAAAGACAATGCGGGATTCAAAATGTGATAGAAAGAAACGTAAGACTAAACATCAGGAAAAAGTCGAGAACACATCATTGTGCGCGTCAGTTACCATTAATATAACCGCTAATTACTAAAAAAAAAAACACCGAGGTTAACCTCGACTACGACCCAAGACAAATCGCGAGGACATAAATAGGCACCGCCAGCGACATCTGAACAATGTCCTCTGGCACTCCGGCGCCTACCTTGTTCAGCACCATGCCGCTGGCGCCATCTACGAGCATGAGCTGCGACCGCGGCGGGCCCTGGTGCTCCTGCTCGTCGCTGTCCGGGTCCTCACGCAGCAGGCCGGCCACCAGGAGGTCAGCGACCCCGTCCGAGGTCAGGTCATCGAGCAGCACCGGCGGCAGCAGCGACAGGGGCCGCGAGGTCGAGTTGTGCTCGTGGAGATACCATTCGACGCGTCCTGTGGGTCAGGCCAGCAAGGCTGCTCATGGAGTTACAGCTCCACTGAGTTCGGCCTTAAACGAAGTGAAAAGAAGGACGGGGTGGACCAAGGAAAGGTTAGGCTTAAAAACTGAGTCCAAAGGAGCGCGATCATGATGATATCGCGTCTATAAAATGCAGTTTAAACGGGGTTTTACCTCCAAACGTTTCACATCTCAATAACCATCATCAGCTGCGCACATGCCGTGAAAAGGAGCAAATATTTTAGACGTTTCTGTAAAGTTCCCAGCCTACCCTGTCCTACGGCACTGATGCCACTACACTGACGTTTGTCCATGTTGACCAGCGCCATCATGCTGGAGCCGCCGGTGGCCAGACACTCGAAGATGCCGTTCGAGTTGAGGTCCAGACCGCCGCACCGCAGGTCCACAGGCGCCTGGGAACGGAGCGAAGCTGCATCACTAACGGTGAAGGGGAGGGGAACTTGCTGGGGAACGGAGAGAATGCTTGCCAGCATTGCTGGTAGTGACGGTAGACGTGATTTATGAAACTGTGACACTGACACTGTGACGCTGCACTATGACGCTAACACCCAAACCACAGGGCGCAAGCAAAACAAAGTAATAGCGATACACTGTGAGAGGCACGCAACGATGGTAGTATAGCTACAGACTAATGGGTCGCGGCGAACATTTGATGAGCGCCAGTCGTGACACCGTAACCCAATTGTGGGAGCTATCAGTTACCAATTGCAACTCGCGTCGATACTAATGCGACCTAATGCGCCATATTATAATGATCTTAATATGAGTGACAGAGTATGCCTGACCAGCGACCTTATCTACAACATCCCACAGCATTGCTAAGTCTAATCACGTGCCGTTGGCTCATCATGTCAGATTACAGTCTACTCGTATTTACATAAACGCAACCTCACACTCAGTATATTCAGTTCGTAGCAAGGAGATGTTTCTTTTTGAAGCGTCACTATTTATACACTATGTAGTATGTTGAGCAATTATATTGGGCATTCTATTCACAGATCGTCTATTTAATTTAACATAGGTCCGGCAGTACTTGTCAAAAGCCAGAGCCTGTTTCATTTAATACAGCTACCCTAACGGTGCGTGTTTCTACATGCTTAGAGCGTGCTCACCTAGTTAGTTAGTTATTAGAGGTCCTGTTGACAGAGTTTCTGTCTCACCTAATAGGGTCCTGGGCTCTGTTCGGTCTCGGTGGCTGTTTTTATATCAGCGTGCTGTCGGTTTTCCCATATAAGGAAGTTCTTGCTGGCGCTACTTGACCTCTCATTGGTCAAATGATGAGACCACGTGAATTTGACCAATGAGGAGCCAAGAAATAACAGCATACTCGCAGCCTGCTGATAAAAAACGGCGACCGAACATCGCCCTGGATGTCAGAGTTTCTTTCTCAGTCTCTCATCTCATACAGATCCTGTAAATGCCAGAGTTTGTCTCGCTCTCTCACTTCGTACAGGTCCTGTTGCCAGAGTTTCTGTATGAGTCTCTCACCTCGTACAGATCCTGTTGCCAGAGTTTCTGTATGAGTCTCTCACCTCGTACAGGTCCTGTTGCCAGAGTTTCTGTATGAGTCTCTCACCTCATATAGGTCCTGTTGCCAGAGTTTCTGTCCACTGGAGGAGGCCACCACCATCAGGCCTCCTGCCGTGGAGTCCTGCCGTCGGAATCCAAACACCACGTCTGCCGAGTCGACATAGACGGTGGGCGCCGCCAGCAGACGAGTGGTGACCACTGAATGGCGGACAGGGGGGGGGGGGGAATAACGTAGCATTTGTAATCAACATCTGACACAAAATAGTATGATCAAGTGGCATAAGTAAATGTGTTAGAGTGGAACAAGTACCTAATGGGACGTTGCTGGCCCTTATCGTTTCAGGTAACGAAGTATTATGTTGCGGTATTGAAATCTGAGAACTTCACACACAATAGCTGTCCGACTGTAACTGGCAAATTCATCACTAAAGGTATATCGCTTTTTTAATGTGAGGAATGCAAATACAAGCAATGCCACATAAGAAACTGCAGGACAGAGACACATTCCTTACGCGGCGTTAATGGGACAAACTCTAAGCAAAAACTCCGCGTGTGATTGGTCCAACAAAGGATCTCAAATGACTTATGACCTTATCAACAAATTCTTCTAGTTTTTTCGCATTGCTTTCATAGGAACAAGCACCAAACATCAGTGATACTGTAACGGACATGTTTTAAACTCAAACTAACACAGTATACTCATCACTTAGCCACATCCACCAAATATCTGTTGTGATTTTGCAGTGCTGCGATGATTACTCACTGATGCCGGGAAACATGACCTCGTAGTCCCTGCGGACGGAGGATTGCTCCAGTCCCGATCCCAGTCCCAGACTGCAGCCGTACCACTGGCAGGGAACCAGCCACACGGCCACGCTAATCACTGGAACGGACAGGGGTTATTGTCAGACCCAGACTACAGCCGTACGGCGTACAGGGAACTAGCCACACGGCCACGCTGATCACTGGAACGGGATAAAACGAAAAACAAGAGTCAAGAACAACACGCCAGTTTATCAATAATCTCTGCCATGACACGCCAAATGACATACACCCATACCACGAATGTCCAGTAGGCTGCTAGTGGTAATGCATCATTCATCGGGAAAATAGGAATTAATCCATTTGACATACGGAAAGATAATACAGACATCAAAAGGCTTTTAAACCCCTGTTGATCATTATTGTCGCCAGTTAGTTTCCCGTTACCCGTCACCGTCACCGGTCATTGCCCTGCCAACATTACCGGTTAGTGACCCCGTTACCAGTTCGTTACCCTGTTACCCCTACCATTACCAGTTAGTCACCCGGTTACCGGCAGTACTTTCCCGCTACCAGCTAGTTACCCTGTTATCGGTTAGTTGCACCGACACCAGTTATTTAGCCCGTTTCCCGCCACCGTTAGTCCGTTACCACTTAGCTACCCCGTTACCGGTTAGTATGAGCAGACACTAGGCGGTGACGAGACAAATGAATAATGACGCTACTCCCACGTCTCTTTACACAGTTACGGGTTTGTTGCCCCGTTAACCTTCCCTTCACCGTTACCGGTTACTTACTCCGTTACCAGTCAGTTACCTCGTTCCCCGCGACCGTTACCGGTTAGTAGCCCCGTTACCGGTTAGTATGAGCAGACAGGCGGTGACGAGACACGCCTTCTTGGTGACTGAGAGGGGCCGCGGCTGTCGGATGTCCGGCGTGGCCTGCAGTGCTCCGAGCGCGTCCTCCTCGTCCAGAAGCTGGTACCGCTTCACAGGACGCGTCGCCGCCTCTGGGGGTAGAGTGAGGTCAGGTCAGAGGTACCGCTTCACAGGACGGGTCGCCGCCTCTGAGGGGAGAGGTCGGAGGTCAGGTCAGAGGTCAGCTGGTACCGCTTCACAGGACGCGTCGCCGCCTCTGTGGGCAGGTCAAAGGTCAGACCAGAGGTTAGGTCAGAGGTCAAAGGTCAGGTCAGAGGTCAGGGTACGTCAGAGTACCGTTCCACCGGACGGGTCGCCGCCTCTAGGGCCAGGTCAGAGGTCCGGGCAGGGCAGGGTAGCACTTCACCGGCCGGGTGGATCATAAATAGCTATCGAATAAATGCCCCGTTGAACTTTTGCTCAAATAAGTACAAAACTGGATCCAACCAGATTCCAATAAGCTAACAAGGGAAGCTGATGCAACTCATTATCATTACGGAATTGATGCAACAATGTTTTACATGGGTCATCACGCAATATCAGGCATGGCCAATGGTCATGCAATATCGCAGCACGAAATAATATGAAATGTACTCGAAAAGCACACCCTAACTCTTAAGACTCTACCATGACCCTGCGAGTTTTAAACCTTGCCATATCAATCTATAATGAGTCTCTGAATTAATAATGTGAATATCGGACAAAGCTACCCACGATTGTAGTTGCTACAAATAATTTTCGGACAAAGTGCTCTCCGAGCTACAAGGGTTACCTCGCTTTTACCACCCATGCTCCAATGACTCCGAAGGTCAATCAATTTATTCAGAGTAAAGCAGGATATTTGACCCAAACATCATACCACGCGACACGCGTCCTTCCCTTACCCATTACTCATTGTCCGCTCTTCTTGAACACAACTAGTTTATCTTGGACCCAACGACCTCTCGTCGTCGTCCCCAGTCTGTTCCCAAAGCACATTCGCCCCTATCACCAGCTCACCACCAGCGTGCTTTTTATCTTCGAACCATCGCCCCTATGCACAGCGGACCGACCCAGTCGTTCTATTCCATCCTTCCTTCGAAACGCCACCTGCTCACCTCTGAACGCCATCGGCGCCGTCTGCAGGCTCGGTTTGCCGTTTCGGGCGCCCTTGTGCCGATGTCTCCGCGGGGGTCGGGTGTACAGGTCGTCCTCCTCTTCTGAGCTGAGGTCGTCGACCAGTTCAGTCACCGGTAGACGAGCGTACTCGGCACTGGTGCTCGGCATGGCTGCGGGGGACAGTATTTAGATGTCACACTGAGTGCTTTTTGTGAGGGATACGGGTCATGTAATCGCCAGATGGAGCTACTGTGAGCTCCTGCACTGTGCTCCCTCTACCGTGAGGAAAAAAAATCATCAGGTCAAGTTAGGCAGGAGCGGCGAAAGACCTTCAATTAGGGGGGGGGGGGCAATGCCGACTTTTGGTCCCATTCTTTCCATGCAACGCCCATAGGGCTAATGTTAAAATGCCAAAATCAAAGGGGGGCACGGTGCCCCGGTGCCCTCCCCGTTCCGCCGCCTATAAAGTTAGGCCAGGATTCCCGATTCATATGCCACGTGACAGGTCACAGGGTGGGACAGACCTTCCAAACATGAGTTTGGGTTGTCAGGTCATGAGGCACTACTTTAGGTGGGCAGGATGTAAGATACTATCCGAGTCAGAATCTTGCTGCTTCACAAGCTGAACGGTCACAGGGCGACGGCAGATAACGCGTTTGGGGTCACCAGTATCAGGTCAGAGGCCACTGGACAGACATGGGTCATCTCAGGTGGTCAGGAGTCACATGACGAAGGCCGTAGGACAACAGACAATGCGGGAATCATAAGATGCACCACGGTGCAGACGTTGAAATCAGCGGGCGTATAAGTGTCAGGCACATGGGTAATTGAGTTACCATACCAGGTGGTAAAGGTCACAAAAGGTTAGAGGGCGATAGACGGGCTAGAGTTGAAGTTCAAAGGTCAATGACTAGGTGTGAACTATAAGGAGTCATGAACTTGATCATAGACCTTGAGTGAACTGACAACAAAGGTCAGGCTGGGGTACGACAGCCAGCATTGATCATTAGGTATTTTGGCCGTCTAAAACCAAGTGGAATCACTGCGAGTCATACCAGTGAAGGGTCGACAAGCGAAACAAATAAACACTTAACAAACAAGTAAATCGGGTCACTTTGCTGATCTTAACTGAACACTGGTCACTCAAGACCGATGGTCTCTCAGCGATGTTGCTTTTCGAAAACAAAGGTATCCGCTCTCAACTGCAAAGGTAAAAGAAATATGCCAGCCTTGGCTACTCCGACTTGTTGCCCCGAGGCAACTTTCGAGCAATAAGCAGGGTAGACCCCATATCGTAGACGCTGTATCTTCTTGCACCTCAAATATTGCATCGAGAGTTGTTAGAATAAGCGTTATAATAAATGGAAGACCGATCGACATTGAATAAACAACGAGTTCCATTGCAGCATAAATCTAGAGTGATAAACCCATATGGGTTTCATCCAGCGATTGATTTTATGATGACTTGCTTCTCATTAATCATCGCAATTTTCCGCACGCGTGCAGGGGCGGCGGATTCGGGGGGGGGGGGGGCAGGGGGGGCAGCTACCCCCTGGAAAACTCGTGGGGGGGCAAAAGTATCTTTTTGCCCCCCCCCCGATAATTTGTGACAAAGCTTAGACAAGAAAGCATATACCTGATTATTCTGTTCGATCATCTGAAGATGTAGCCAGATGCCCATATACTTTATCATAGGTACGTTGCCTTTCTTAAATGGTAAGCGTTCACGTTCAATTGAAGTTTTTCTTTCTTCAACCTAGTTTTGGAGGCATTATAAGCGTCAACGTGACGCAGCGGCAACCCAGGCCTTCAGTGACCGCTTACAGGGGCGACGGATACGGGGTGGCAGAGGAGGCATCGTTCCCTAAGAAACTTTTGGAGGAGGGGCAAACGTATATTCTTGCCCCTCCATAATTTGTGCCCTAAACATGAGGAAAATTTACATAACCTGATATTGCAGCAATGCGCTCCTACAGTTTGTCCAACGGTGCCTTTTGAATATGTGTAAATGCTAACCATTTCCGCCTTATATCATTATTTTTTGGTCTTTTCAGATTCGATTTATAGATGTGTGCAAGAGACGCAACTCATACCTTCACCGTTTGCGTCTATTTTGTACCTACATAAATGCCAAATCGCAATCGAGCGGAGACGAAAGGGCTAGCCATTCGCTTGCGGGTAGTTAGGACTGATGAGCGCCAGTGCACTGTAAAAAAATCTTACAAGCCCCTTGTAGGAAAACCGCTGGCGCAAAAATGAGCATGCAGCGACGTGTAAAAATCGCCTCATATTTAGCTAGTAAGAGGGTACAAGCTTGTTTCGTTAGTAAATGACAAGCCCACGCCTCATAAACCGAGCACCCCCGTGTCAGCCCCTCGTTTCGTTATTCGGTACCTCGTTTGAAAACGAGGGCAAAACCAGCAGATCGGTATGCCGATTAGGCTCCTTAGCAGGACTCGCCTGGTAACCCAACCAGCTAGCGCCTGCTATTGCTGCCCAGTAGTAATACTAGCTCAATTGCGTCACCCTTCTCCCCAGCCGCCCCTCCGACTGGTGGACGACCCGGCCAACGACAGCCACGACAGCGTGCCAGCCACGTTACAAAAAAAAACATACACACAAATATCGTTTATTACTTATTAACATACGATACAAAATATCTGAAAATATACATATTACAATATCATAGTGGAGTGGTGCAAAAGCTGATTCGAGTCACCAACAATAACAGTCACAAAATAATACGGTTGCATGAGACACGATCGGGCACTTCCACGGGCTCTGACGCAACGGCACTTACAACAGGCGAGTGAGCAAGTTGATCCTGCCATGTCAGGTACATTGTGCACTGTGCAGTCCATCAAATATTTGCCATACTTTGCAGATTCAAGCAAGTATTTTTTTCTGGGCGAGGCTTACCAACTAGTGGTGTCAATCGGAACTTGAATCTTCGGAATTCCGATTTTGTCCAATGTCCAATTCGGATTTCGGTTGGACAGTGGCAGCAGGCTTTGGACAACTTTGGACAATCGCTTGCTACACCTCAACATTTTTAAAAAGTAGTCGTGTTTAACATTGATTGGCTATTAGAAAGCTCAGCTTTCGATATGATTAACACTTTGAGCTTGTCACGGTACATGAAAAGCAAATTAAATAGCAGTGTTGAGTGTGAACTATTGCGTAGGTGTCGGACATCTTTGGACAAATGGCTGGCTTGGACATTTTTGGACAGACAATCGACGTAAGCATTGGACATTGGACGGACTTTGGACATACTTTTTCTGAAATTGCCACCATTATTACCAACAGAAATATCGCTGGCTTCCGGTATACCTTCATGCCTCAGTCTCCCACAACTTTGAGCAACTCTGCAAACAGAAAAGAAAATTAACTGCTGATTTTAAAATATCAGTGAGGATGGCTTTATTATCTACATCAACTGACTTTTGTATAAGATAAATCAATGTGAGGCAATATGTGTAGCTTACACATTTGGAAAAAAGGCTAGACACTAGACAGCAACTGAAAGAAAGTCCGTCTTCCAATAGTCGGAATTCAAACGAAACAGTGGCCCACAACGGTCAAGGGGTGAATTCTATGACGCAACATGTGTTCAGAATATTACAAAATAAATAAAATGTCGTCCATTGCTGCGTAAATATCATACAATATAACGTACCTTCGAAATATCCCAGTCCGAGAACTTCACAACGCACCGTGCCACAACACAACCGCACCAACCGCCGGCAGCCGCAGAACTGAACAATGGCGGCCGGAAATGACGGCCCCGCCGGAAGTGAAGGACGCGTTTTAGAAGCAGTCTCAGACTCGTCGCTGCTCACCGTAGCAGGAATTTATGAGGCACTACCGAATCAAAGTCGTTTCGCCTCATTCGGCAACACGAAAACCCTACCAGGACTAGTCCGATGATGAGTTTCCGACTAGGTGGCGTGTGCGCAGGATTATATTTAAAGCACGTGCAGGGCGGTGCCTCATTAGCCGACATAATAATGATATGACACGATAATGAAACACGCATGTAACTAGCATGCAACAAGCTTCTGGCGGATTTACTTATGAGACCATGCGTAGTTTTCCGACACAGCGCGAAATCTGTTGATAAGCAGGAAGGGGTGTTAGGGAAGCATTTAAGTTATTAGGTTACCGTTTGTAACCAATTGTTTCACGAGGCCACTCTTTAACTAACAACTCTCAGGCTGATAATGTCCCTATATATAACAGCAAGGTACAATGGACGACCGTGTAACCCACTCCTTGTCATAGAATTGGCTCGTGACATTTTTTTACAGTGTGGCGGCGCCACGAATTTTCGCCAGTGGGGGCAAGCTTGAGGTGACCCGACTGTTGTCTGATACGCCAATCTGCAAAATCCATGAGCAACTTGCCCCTAGATGTTGCCATTCAAAATTATTATGGTACTCATGTGACCTCGAATGACCTTTGGTTGACTTTGACACATGAAAAGTCCTTTGTGATGATTTCGTAGCCACTGATCACGATTCTGGCATCCATTTTGCTCTAAGCATTCATTTAAATGATGGGAAAACATGTCTTAATTAGGTACTAGATGCCGGCAGCGCTCTTGCGTTGCCTTGGGCCAGAATTGGATGAACGGAGCTGAGGGCACACACCGGGCAAAACCACCGAAACCCAGACTGAGCTCGGACTGAACCTGAAACCAACCGAAACATCCCAAAAATGCTTGAAAGCACGTGAGATGGGTGTCCCATAAGTTCGTTTTCACCTAAATGTTACGTTTATAGGCTCTCTTGCTTAAAGGCACGCTGGAATTGGTTCGTAACTGAGCTTACGTGGTTGCCATGGCTGGTAGCAATATGCTCCACAGTAACTAATTTCTGTAGACAAAATAGCTTTTGCTAGAGAGCCCGCTTCCTACAGAGACGGCTAACGCCGCAACATAGAGGTCTCCGATACGGGTACGTCTTGGTATTTAGTCAGCACGTGACCATTCTCGACGATTAAGGGTGATTGAGGCCAACCAGTCTGTACCCAATGTCCATCGCTAACTGGACGCACAGTCAGCAAGTGACGCCGATGATTTGTCGGGAGTCAATCACGGTGAATGAACATGAGTAGGAGAATGAGTGGGAGTAGGAGATATGCGACAGACGGTCCGAGAACGAACGTTTTGCTGATGCACTTGATACGGGGACCGTCAAAAACAGGCGTACTATTATAACCGCTTATCATGAATGTTGCACTGGTCTTCCGTTCCCTTTTCAACATCAGCCAAATTTTGTGGGGGCAAAAACATAGTCTTGCCCCCACGGCCTCCTGCCAGTGGGGGCAGTCTGCCCCCACTGCCCCCACGGTGGCGCCGCCCTTGATGAGCGCTCATAATAAGCCACTCCCCTGATTTTTCGAGCGCAACAGTTTCCAGCGCATAAAATGGTAAACGCCGAGGTCGTACACATTGACGACATTGACCAATGCACGGTATGGTATGACACCCAAAGGCCAGTCATCAGAGATCTGCTTTGGGCATTCGGAGGCTTGTGTGGGGCCAGTGTAAAAACTGGATGTTCACAGTTCAATATCCGCTTTATTTCAGTTTTCACTATTAAAAAAGTAAAAATTAATGTTGGAAACTTTTGAGGGTAAGGGCACTGATCATTAGTGGGCCCCCTCTGGCTAAAGGCTGACTATATACCTATAGAATAAAGAGCATCAAACACGAACAGTAGCGGCGGAACACCTTCAATTAAAGGGACCCTCCCACCTTCAAAAAAGTTAATGAATTGGCATGAAAGTGATGTCCCTTGGTTCAGAAAGAGCGAAAACGAATATCTACCAAATTTCACCGAAAAATATTCACTGGTTTTCAAGATATTAGGCTTTTACTTTTGTTTACTTTTTGGGATCTCCCCTGTTACTAGCGACTTTATTTGGAAGCAATAATTTGGCAGCCTTAAAGTGCGGCAGACGTTGCGCGCAAAGCAGCGTATACCACCACGTGTTAACGATGGTTTTAGTCTAAGATTTAAAAATCGTTAGATCTCCGCTGACGTCACAAATTCTAAGGGGGCATTCCAATGCATTAGCCCCTTAGAATCCGAAAACTGCAAGTTTGAAATTCCATATCTTCGAATTAAAGCATTTTTCGATGTTGTGAGTGCCCAAACCGGTATTTGCAGGCCATGGCCACCAATTTGGCTATCTCAACTCAAAACTAATGTTAACCCGCGAGTTGCTGGGGGGGGGGGCGTTAAACGCCCCCACTTTTTTCGCCAGGCCATAGCATAAAAACGGCGCGCCGCAGGCGTGCCAAATTTTGGGTACCTGTAGGGAATTGATTGAAGTTTATTGTGACAAAGTTTCAAAAAAATCGGTCGGGAAATTTTTGAGATATCGAGGTTTTAGTGACGTCATGATTTCTGAGTTTTCGACCAAAAACGGCATATGTTCAAAAAATCATATAAAATCACAGAATAGACATATAGACATGCCGTAAACGCCATTAGACTGCCAATACCATGGAGAAGCAAATGGCTATCTTCGATTATTGATTATCGTTCCGCATTTTCCAAAATCTTGAACTGAATCTTGGCAATTTCTCGTGACTTCACGACCATGATACATGAATTTCTTAAATTGAACTTTTTTAGCCAAACACGTACACATATGATAAAATGAATGTCACCATCGTGTTCTACGCCCCAAATTACCCATAAAACATGTGTCACAGGCTGCGAATATCAGTTTTTATATTCGGGGATATGTGCCTGCCCGGTTGACCTGACCTTGACCCTGACCTATGCTTGACTGACCCCTGCATGGAGCTGACACTCTTGTAGGCCTTATATGATGGATTGTGCACCGTTTTGACAGAGTTTATGACGAAAGGCGCCCATTGCGAAGTCCTGAAGTCCATGCTACTGAAAGCCCGATTTCAGGTGTTTGACCTGACCTTGACCTGACCTGTGACCTCGAAATTCAACTTTAAAGTACTCATCTGAAGCATCTCGTCGCGTTCTTTCGTTTTCCGCCTCGTGCGTTTCGCTGCGCCTATTGGTTCTCGAGTTATCGGCTGGGGGCGTTTAACGCCCCCCCCCCAGCAAACGGTGGGTGGCGAAATACCCCAGCAACTGCCGGGTTAAGGTGGGAGTGTCCCTTTAAGGGGGGGGGGGGCACTGCCGACTTTTGGTCCCACTCTTTCCATGCAACGCCCATAGGGCTAACGTTAAAATGCCAAAATCAAAGGGGGCACGGTGCCCCGGTGGCCTCCCCGTTCCGCCGCCTATGAACACGAAAGCAAAATCTGAGGCATTTTGGAAAAATGAGTATGCCCCGCAGCGTCCGATAACTACCACCTTCCAGTGGGTCAAGCCAACGGGGTCCAAGTCTATTATGGCACTTACCTAACGATAGCACTAACCTTGTCTCACTTTTTGTTGAAGGCTGTTCCGAATGGTTTCGGCCACAGACTGGCTGCACTGAGGTCGTTTAGTATGTGCAACTGTAATTAAAGCCACCTGAGGCACCCTGACACCAGGCTGAAGCTGGGTTGGTAATGCTTCGTCTTTGCAGATATCACTGGCCGCTGGTTCTCGAGTGCCTGAACCGGTAGATGTCGTGGCAAAATTTGGTGTGATAATTTGGACCTTACCGCAGTCAGCGCACCCTAAAGCCTTAATAAAGAAACGCCCTACCCAGAGCTTCTGAATTCTCGTTCCAGTCCACCGTTCCTTCACCCCAGCCCACCGCCACGCTCCCTCACCTCAGCCCTCCGCTCCCAGCTTGACGAGCGTTTGGGCCTTAGTTAAGCCGCTGTAGGCTAACTGTGTAAACCCATCGAGACAGCCCGTCTCGGTGAGCTTAGTTGGCGAACTACTGCCTTGGGGAGGGTTTCTGGCGGATCGCTGTCCCAATAGGTTTAGGTGCGGCCGACTGTCTCTGAATGTTTGAGCGGTCTCCTCCCGCTGTGAGCTAGTTTCAGTTGATATCTGTCTCAGAAATACTTTTTAAAGGAAGGTTAATCGGAAATCGAACGTAAAATGAACAGAGGAAATGGTAACGAGTTACCTCATTGAAGAATAGCGTTCGCCTACTTCAAAAGGCTTAGAACCGTTCTTCAACATCTAATATGTATGCGATCGGGTTATGGCACAACTTTTCCCATTGGAGCTTTTTTCTAATACAGCAATACGAAAAGCGTTACATCGTCCACTGGCGGATCCAGGGAGCGGACATTTAAAGTAACTATTTACTCTCCCTCCCCTGGCCCCTGCATCGCCAGAAATAGACAAAACGTACCTTATATTTCCTAATAATAACACTTTTATCAGGATTTTTTTTTTGCTTTATACAGTTCAGCAGTAGATCCGTAAGGAATCGAAATCCGAGGAGTTTTTGGATTTTGGACACTTTTTGGGTGGTGGTATGTCCCCTACAGCGTCGAAAACGCCTTTCTGGATCCGCCTATGACATCATCTCGACTGGGATCTTGCCCCCCCACGCCAAAATCGAATCCGCCGCCACTGCACGCGTGTGCCTCTGTCCGTACTCCGTACCCTACGTGTCTCCAACAGCCATCCAGTCCCGGTCGAGCGTTACACACAGTCAGCAATCTGACCGAGTTCCCCCCCCACCACCACCACCACCACCACGCACGAGAGGCGGTCGGGTCGCCCGCATTGCGAACACCTGCATGCCATGTCGATGTTCCCCTTCCCCTCCCCACCTGCTTACGAGCTTTTGACAACAAACGATGCATACAGAGTCGCCGGGGCTTCGAACCGCTAGCTTTTTTACAGACATTATAGCATTAACTCATCTAACACAATACATGAAATAAAATCTTTACTTCTCGGTGGAGCCGGCCGACTGCGAAATACACAGCCTCTCAAGCATCGTCGGAAAAATTAAATTAAGCCTTGTCTTGAGAAAAGTGTGGTCTCGCTCCTAGTTGCCCCCAGTAAGAGTTCACAGGCGATACTCATGATATATGAGGCAAGCCCGTCTCGACAGCTTATATTCTTCGGCACACAAGATTTGAACTTCTAATCACGCTCACTAAAGAAGCTTCCCGACCGTTTTCAGAGGACCATAGAGAATAGAGATGGATTAGCCTCTCTCAAATCTTTTCGAGAAGCTGCGGGCCACTTCGGCTGGGCCACGTTATTTTTAGACTGGGAGATCATACGAAGAGAAATTTATCGTAGGACGTAGACATTTTTGATTGAAGATTAATGGCGAACCTATCAACAAGAAATGCAACTGACCGACATCACATCGCAGTTCACATACCACGTGTAAGCAAGCAGAGCACAGTGAAACTTACGTGTCACGACCACGAGAGATGCAACTAATAAGTGCCACCGTACCATACTACGCATTTCTGGTACTCGTATGGTGCAGTATGGAGCAACACTGCAGAATAACAAATCGACATAAAATCCGGTAGCGCCGCCCCTGTTCACTATTGATTGAGCCGCCCAGACTTTGATCTGATTCCAATAAGACGGTCAGACTGATTGACGTATTTCCCGGAGATCCGTGGGCATCGATTTTCAATGATCTCTGACAGTTTATAAAAAGAATTAAAGCCAGCCATGAATTTTGACCGTTGGGGCCCAACGGTCAAGTTGGGCCGTCTTTCAGCCTTGGGTAGGTCTGGAAGTGTAACGTTTTGCAATAAGGTCGGGTCACGTGATGAATGATGCAAGCATCACCTCATTTCATAGGGTTCATTCCAGCTGTGTCAATTATGTACCAATGTTCCACTCAAAAGCAAAAGTCGGCGGGTTTACGCAGACGTCGTAAAGGGGCGTCGGATTTCCTATAAGAGACATTCACCAGATAACACAATTCAATATGGCCCAAACCGTCCCCGGAGTCCCACCCAGCTCACCTTTATATTTCTCCTCCTCTCGCGGCAGCTGATCCTCCTCTCCTCCCAGCTCCTCTCACTCTCCCTGAGGCTCCTCCTCAGTCCTCTCTCTCGCTCCTGGCTCCCACAGGGCACTCCTGAGCTCTCGCTCAGCTCTCGGAGCCAACCACAGCGTGCAGGAGCGGCAGCTATCTGGCCCAAGCCACGCGGAGACTATCGGCCAACTGGCGGCGTCCGACGACGCTGATGACGTCACACCGGTGACGTCACTCGGTCCGGGTCGCGTGGCGAGTCCGTCGGTGCCGATGGGGGCGGGGCGGGGGCGTCGGTCGATGAGAACGACGTCACCGACGGCGGAGGCGGGCGTCGGCGGAAGCTGTAGGGAGGATAGGAGTGTTAGGCGAGGTAGGAAGAGGAGAGTAGAGAGATTTGGTGAGTGTAAAGGTAGAGCAGCGAGGCGAGAGAGAACGTAAAAAGGTGTAAGGGGAGATCACAGACAAGGATTGTTGAAAGGTTATTTGGAGACGGCGCAAAAAGATGGGAAAGAGAGAGAGAGAGAGAGAGAGAGAGAGAGAGAGAGAGAGAGAGAGAGAGAGAGAGAGAGAGAGAGAGAGAGAGAGAGAGAGAGAGAGAGAGAGAGAGACCTGTCGGTGACGTCAGGAGATGACGTCCTAACTATGACGCGGGATTTGGCCGTGGCTAGAATAATGTGTAACATTATACGGACTAAGAGCCTGAATGCAGACCATTTCCGTCAGCGGAGATGGGTCCGCACCTTTTACAGGAAATGTCAACAACACCGTCACCTCCGGCACGTAGGTACCTCCTTAAAGCTAGCGCCTAGCCTTCTGGAACTATAACAATTACGGAGCAGCAATGCAGTCCAGATCTGAAATAGTACAAACTCTCACGGAACTTATCGAAAAGTAATTAGTGTTGATGCTGAAGGAGTCTCCTCAGTCAGGTCCGGTTGGCCACAAAGTTCGAAGATCGATGTTGGTACTTGGTTCAGCTGATAGTTTCGCAATTCGCACATAACTACATACCCACTATTCTGCATAAGGTAAGCTTTATGTAAAGCACAAAATGCGCACAATCCTTTTCCAGTCCATGCCGGTGACGCAGCCCACAACACCAAGCTTACACACGGTCAGCCAATCATACCTAACTGCCTTAGTTGCTACAGCTACTACAGCTACATCTACAATTCTACACCTTACAGCTACACCCCGCCCCCCCCCCCCCCCCACCACCCGACCCGCAGCCCTCCCTCCCCTCCCCTCCACAACACTGCGGGTGCCTTTCAGTGAATCAGTCCCGGTGATGGACCCCGCTCCCTCCCCTGCCCTGTCTGACTTCGATCTAGGTCAAAGAGCAGGGTACGATGACCCCTGACCCTTGACACCGACCACCGTGACCTTATGACGCCTTCACCCGGAACACTTTGTCGATGGAGACTGAAGTTAGCACTTTGCATTCCGTCGGTTCCATGCTACCAAGGAGGGATCATATGTTACTTTATTCCAAGTAAGTTTATGTTCAGCCGTCCGTTGGGAAGTCCAAGAGCTGCAAAGCATGAATAGCTTGAATAGCTTGATTAATCGTCGCAGTTGGACTCGAGACGAATGATCTAGGAGCAGTCCTAAAACAATACCAATTTGCTCCCAAGACCCAACCGTAATTGATTAACCCACGGCACTGTACGCTCCAGAAAGAGCCAACAATTCAATCTTCGGTGCAATTCGTTTCGCGTCTTGTGAACACGGCGTGGAGCTCGCCACTCGGTACGACCTTATCGCAGATAAGATAGTGCAGTCGGAGGCAGTGAACTGTCAGACTGGCGGCAGGGAGGTCTACGGCAGATAGCATGGAACCCCCCCCCCCCCCCCCCGGGTCGTAGCCCGTAGGTCAGAAGTCACAGCTATGTGGAGTATCGATTAATCTCATAAGAAGTCCGTAATCGGCTGTTTTATTAAGAAAAAAAAAACAGACCAAGTAAAGACTCGACCAAAAGGGTATAAGAACACTACCTCCAGAGAGACATTTTTCCCGCCTGAAACAGAAGGCTCGAACAACACTGAAAACAAACTTAAAACAAATAAATGCGGAACAACGTTTATTGTTGACCTGTTCAACATTGTTTTAGGTCAGAGGCAATAAATGCTGAACACATGAAATAACATCTTACCAATACATTTTACGCAGAACATACGCATAACTACGCATAACATAACAACGCAAAAATAGTTAGCATTTGCAATTTGAGTGGAGTGGATATCGGTGGACGAAATAAATACATTCTAACCTCTACAACAATCGTCGTAAGAGATCCATACGCATGTAACCGAGCTTCATTGACGAACAATAGTTGTGCATTGTGCAATTGTGATGTGGATCGACATCTAAGTGTGTACCGAGAACCACTTCTCTTTGCACAAGTGAATGTAAAAAACAACACTTTCTGTGGACGGCTCGGGCTGATGGACGGATCGTGACATGAAAGTAGGCTAGTGACATGAATTGCGCTCATCACTACTAGCTCATCACTACATAGTCCACGATGCTTACGTCAGAGGCAAATAACAGCACTGCCACTTGCCAGTGTTCATATATACGCAGACTGTTCCTTCCTCCAGCCTTCTACATACATGAGATACATTTATCACAACATACGAGAGGAAACACATGACCGGTAGTTGTTGAACAGGAGCAAAAGTTGTCGACCATTTATCCAACAAAGTCATCTGTAAGTGCACATCTATTTTTCTTCTAATAGTTTCACCTGGTTCTGGGTCTGCGTTGACACCACAGGCACCAAAGTCCCTCATTGACACCTTAGCACATAAACTCAGTAGCTGCTGTGCAGCGGCTCAGGCTTTCACAAACGAGCAAACATTATCATTTAGTCCGTCTACCGCACGCTTCAGCGCTCTCGATGTTCAGCGTCTCGTACACTTCAACTACCAGTCCCGTCATCTAGCGAGTCTCATTACGTTTAGGTATGTCTAGTCCAGCAGCCTGCGCTCCGTTGCATTCATGTGTCACTCTTCCCGTGGACTCCCATTCGCTCTATCACCAGTCGGGCTGGTCCGCCGCCCTCCGGATGGCCTCCATCTGCCGGTGGAATTGGCTCAGAATCTCCTCCAGCGGAGGCGGCTCCAGCTGGTGCGGCTGCAGGTGCGCCGGCAGGCGGCCCGCCGGCCGCGGCATCTCATCCTCCGTCGCCGGGGCCGGAGGAGACTGGAAGTAGGGCTGCTGGAGGGCCTGACGCGCCGCCAGGCGCCGGTCTGAACGGTAGACGAGAAGGCGACGCGCCAGCTCCACCGCCTCCGGCGCCGCCTCCGGGAACAGCACGTCCACGCCGGGCGAGCGGAACTCGGGGAACGGGATCTTGTTGAAGTCGGGCAGCTGCGACATGCCTGGCCAGCTCTCCTCGGTGGGCGAACCGAGCGTACGCAGCACCACCAGCAGCTGGTCGATGTCGTTCTCGCCGCGGAAGATGGGCGACCGGTTAAGCAGCTCGCCGAAGATGCAGCCGACCGCCCACAGGTCGACGCCCTGGTCGTACTGCCGCGCGCCGTAGAGGAGTTCAGGCGCCCGGTACCAGCGCGTGGCTACCTGGTGCGAGTACAACCGACCCCGGTCCAGCACCCGACTCAGGCCGAAGTCGGCCAGCTTGAGGACGCCCGCCGCGCTGATGAGTAGGTTAGCTGGCTTCAGGTCACGGTGGACGATCCCGCGGCAGTGCAGGTAGCCTGTGCCGCGCAGCAGCGCCTGCATGTAGTTCTTAACGTGCGGCGCGGGCAGCGGCCGGTCGGCGTCCCGGATGATCTCCGCCAGATCGGTCACCATGTGCTCGAACACCAGCACGAAGCCGGGTCCCTGGGGAAACACGTCCAGCAGGCGGACCACGTGGCGGGACTCGAGCTGCTGCAGGGTTTTGATCTCGCGCAGCATGGTCAGCGGCAGGCCGTCCTCCAGTCGCTTCAGCGCCACCTTCTTCAGGGCGACCACGTCGCCGGTGAGCAGCGACTCGGCGCGCAGCACCACGCCGTGAGCGCCCTCGCCGATCCGAGACACCACCTTGTAGTTGTTCATGATGAAGAGGATGGTGACGGAGAGGATTATGAGGCGAGTAGAAAGGTCGAGACGAAGACTTTTGCACGCTGAGGGTGGTAACGGGCGAAGATGAAGATTGGATATGGAATGAAGAGGGCGAGGAGCGGTTGGGTTTTGTTAACTCGTGAAAAAGTATGGCAACAGTGGGGAGGACGTTGCTGCTCTGGCTGTTGGCGATAAAACGAATACCATTCGTAGAACCTCCGCCGGAATGTGGTGCAGTGCTGAAGAAGTCGCCTCGCACCTGCAATATGTCCAAGGGAGCGGTGCTAAATGCTAATCCCATGCGACCGCGACCTGCCGCGCGCGCTATTATGACCACTACCAGTAACGTCACGTAGTATCAAGCACTGAAACAGGGCCGTGAGCGATAATCGACGACAAAACAAGAGATCCAGACATGTAAATAACGCTCGAATTTCAGATAACCTTATAGCATAGCAATGATACTAATGTTTATACTAACACTTAAAATGATGCTATACGATCAACACTAAAGGTACTTAAATTGAACATGAAGAATGCATGACTTTAGGCATTCTTGCATTTATTCAGGTCTTTGGAGTACGTCGCCCCTACCTATAAATCCGTGAGCCACCTAGCAGGGTTGTGCTGGTGCAATTAACCGCACATTTTTGTCTAGAGTGTGTCAAAAGTCTCCAACGAAATTCATGCATAAATGACGTCACGTTTATCAAGAGAGAGGAACGTTGCTTTTCAAAGACGTTCTAAAACAATGATATCAAATTTCCTGCACTTTTTTCGTATACCATTGACCTGTGACCCGAATGTTGTGCACAAAAAAGTCGAATAAAATATGATTGTAAATTATAATGTTAGCAAAAACTTTGAATGTTGAGGTCCCAACCCTACAACTGAACATGTCCTTGGCTTTCCATTCCACACTGAAAAAGGGTATCAGGCGATGAAACGAATATGCGCAGCTTTCACTGCTCATGCTCGTTAAAATCCAACCACCTTGTAGACATGTATTGGTAGACGAACATCCCCTAGATACGGCAAATAAAATTAAGCCATTTTTAAATGCCTTTGCCGGGCGATCACAGATCACATCACAGCGATATCACAGCAATGTGCCCACAATACCAAAACAAGGCATCACCCGAGAGCCCTCTCAGTAGAGAGACAGCACGCCGGCAATGGCGCCCTGGAAGCCAGCGTTGTAGTCGCACGCCACCTCGTTCTTGATGTAGTCGTCGCGGTTGTCCTCGTAAGCGTCGTCCTGGTCGGGTCCGCCGACCAGCGCTCCGTACAGCACGTGCGGGTTGGGCTCCGAGGTGTGCAGCTGGTCCCAGCCGCAGGGCGCCGGCGCGTCCGGACACGAAGCCCCGGCATGGTGCGCGCGCACCGGAGGGTTGTTGCCGAAGCCGACCACGTAGCTGCGCCCGCCGTCACCCAGGATGTAGTTGAGCTGCTGGATGGCGAAGTCGTTGTAGGCATCAGAGTTGAGACCGTTCTTGGCGGCACCCAGACAGATGAAGGCCACGTTGCCCACGTGCCGGAGGGAGCCCCACATGTTGAGGTAGACCATGCCCTTAGGGGAACGCGGCGCTTCATTCTTGACCCAGTCACAGAACTGGGTAACCATGGATCCATAAGAGGAGTCGCCAGTGAGCTGGTACATGAGCAGCTGGACACCGGCGTGCTTGCTGTCCCAAGAGAACTCGCTGGGACGTCCATTCAGATCAGAGAACTCCTGGAAGAAGCCCTTGGCCTTGTCCAGATAAGTCTGATCGTTGGTAGCGCGGTAGATCCAGGCCGCCGCCCATGCGAGCTCGTCGCCATAGCCACTGGAGCTGAAACAATAATAGTGGCAGAGCTTCAGGACAATGAAATAGTAAAAGGCAGAACACGGTAAGATATAAAATGAGGACTTTCACACGTATGGTGGTTGTCAATGAAGTCTTAATTTGGTTTGACTCAGCAAAAAGCCAAGTGCTTTCTTTTCTATAGAAGTTGCACGCAGTGGCCTCTATTTAAAAAACGTACTGCCATAGTTGCTGGGAAAATTTCCGCGATAGTTGGGGGCGTGTCAACATCAGTTTCACGGCCACGAGTTGCGTGAGAGAGACACATCCGAGTACAAAGATTTGAAGTGAAATGAGGCCCACGAGTGTGAGAATAGAGCACCTGCCTCGTGATATGCATAATGTTTGTGGTGTCTACGTTCCTTATGTATTCTAGTCCCTCGTAACGCAACTTTGTCGGATGTTAGTAAGGTGATGCACTGCACAATTCAGAACTGCACAATTCAGATGGATCCATGAGAACAGTGCATACGATATACGGCCTTATAAAATTAGCTGCTGCGACAGGAACTTCCTGATGAAGAGCATTGGATGACCGGTTATTGGCGCCGTGTCGTTACTGCACTAACCCGTAGAAGTTGCCGGCGTCCCAGATGGAGTCCTGGTACTTGCCACGATGTCCGTCGGCGAACTCAAACAGCTGCTTAGCGTGCTGCAGACAAGTGTCAGAGTAGCCGGGATCGGAGTCCTTGAAGAGGACGGCGGCAGCGGCAAGAGCGGCAGCCGTCTCTCCGGCCAGGTCAGAGCCCGGGCCGCCAGCCGTGATCTTGTAGCCGGGACGGTCCATGTTCATGTCCTCAGCGCGGCCCCAGAAGGCATGGTCGGCATCTCCGTTGCCACACTGCAAAGTACAACACGGTACGCGGGGTTGTCAGTTTGAGACTCTGAACCCTTACACCTAGAGTGATCTGCCTCGTAAGAAGAAAGTATTAAGCGGCTCCCGGAAAGACTTAAACGAACATTTGCAACATCCCCTCCTCGACGTCCACTGGCAATTCCTCACCTGACCGTAGAAGTCCGTGTCACCGACGTGCGCCTTGATAAAGAAGTCGGTTCCCCACTTGACGGCCTGCTTGACGTAGTCGCTCTGTCCGGCACCGGCGTAACCGTTGGCAAAGTCGATGGCGCCCCAGGCCATCACCGTCATGGAGGCCGCCATCGGGAACCCGAACTTGACGTGGTCGCCGGCGTCGTAGTAGCCGCCGGTCAGGTCCTCGCCGTTCTCTCCGCGGTCGTTCATCGCCGAGTCGCCGCGCCACGGGATCCTGTTGTCGGGAGGCAGAGGGCCAGAGCGCTGGGCCTCGTAGAAGAGGAGGGACTTCTCGAGCACCTCCTGGTAATCGTAAGGCAGTGGCGGCGGAGGGTTGGTGGGTCCCCCGGTCGGCTGGGGCTGGGTCGGGCCCGTCGGAGGCGGCAGCGTGGTGCCTCCGCCTCCGCACTGCTCGACACCGTTCAGAGTGACACTGGTGACCTCAGGCTTGCTGGAGAAGTAAGCGTTGAAGGCGATGGAAAGCTCGGCTCCAGCTGGCTGGTTTCCATCGAAAGGCGCGTTGTCCAAGGTATAGACAACGTTGTCCGTAGTTGAAGCAACAGCCTCCCAGGTCTCGAAGTCGGAAAGTGCATGGTCGAAAGTCATCTTCACTTGCCAACTCGTGACAGCGCTCGGGAACTTGATGTTGAGGTTGGCGGTCATGCCGTCGTTCCAGACGGTGTGTTCGTCGATGATGCCTTTCTGAGCGCACGCTCCCGTAGCACTGACTGCTTCGGGTGCGAAAATAGAGGCCAGTAGCGGCAGAAGCAGTCCGGTGACCGCCATTTTGAATCTGGCGACAAAAAAGAGATGATGAACACCACACGTAATCTAGTGCATATCGACTAATGTGAGTCGCATAAAAGTTTCAAAATGACGCAAATGCGAACAAGATTATCTGCCAACTCATTCATAAATTGTTTTTAGAACTTAAGCGTCAATGTACTTCTTTAGGCTTCGACGTTTACATTTCCCCGTTTTGATAAGTTCGCCAGTTTAGTAAAGAACTGAGCTTTCGCAGTGTCCAAAACAACTTGACCGAACTTCTAGCCTACCTTTTAAACTTTTGAGATTAACGTAACTGAGAGTCCTCGAGCAACACTCGTAGGCGTATGTTTGCTTTACGATGATAGAGAATAATTCCAAAGGGATAAAGATAGATGAATAAACCATTTCACACTTGGAAACAGTTGAAATACATATCAAATGTTGTCAGTGCATGCCAGGGGCGGATCCAGGATTTTTCGGGAGGGGGGGCGGCAAGTCAAAATAGGGGCGACCTGGCAATCTGGGGGCGCTTCATACGAAGGAGCGCCAAACCGTCGTCAAAATCGAGAGTCGTCGAACCCGCGCCGTGGTGTGTGACGTTGTCATGTTCCCCCTCAGGTTTTTCGCAAATATCTGAAAAAACAGCTGTGCGCAGCGCCGCCGTTTTCAGCACACATTATCATGCACCTTTTTTGCACATGTTGTGAAAGTGTCAGGCCCGGGTCATGCAACGGCAGGTCACCAGGTCATGACAAGTGACCTAACCCCAGAATGTTAAAATGCTCACCATTGCTATACCGACAGAACGGTCGCTTTGAAACTGTCAGGGATTGATGAAAGCAACAATATTCATGAAATGTATATCTCGGAATTTTGATATTTGTGGGCTAAGGTCAAGTCAGTTTTGCGACCTCTCCAATCTCCATTAGGCCTATACCGGGTAGGTATACCTAAGTTAAGTTTATGTGAGACAACTGAAAGGCTTTTGGACGAGCGCCATTCTAGACAATCGCAAGCATTAGGATACATGTAAAATCAACACACTGAATAAGAAAATTGCACCTGTGACCATTCATTGTGTCCCACAGGTCATCCCAGGTCATGAAAGGTCCTGAACAGTTTTTTGAAAATAACTTTTGATAGATACATATGCTAGAACGATAAAAACACCTCCGTTGTGTTCAGCTCGACGATACAGATCGACTGATATGCAACATGACATTTCCCGGTGAGGTCATGACCTTGACCTGTGGTCAAATTATCAAAATTACCTTTCAAGGTCATCCTATAGTCCATTCGACGCGTCTCGACGACAGAAACGCGATGCTGGCAAACGTAATGTCGAGCCTCTC